AAGTAATCAACTACAGTTTGCAAAACTATTTAATCCCCAAAAATAATTACTTCAGTTGAAAACATCATTGAAGAGTCTACCCAGTGAGACTGAGAATAGAAAGATAGGTGCACGGTCAAAGAAGAAATATGCGGAACAAAATCACATTACAAGAACGAATCAATCATATCAACCACATGGCTGACGAAAGAATTCAGCAAGGAAGCAAGTTCACAATAACATAACTGCTTCAGTGAAAAGCATCACTGAAAAGTCGATCAAGTGATCCTCAGGATAGAAAGAGAGGTGCAGCGAAAACAACAAATATGTAAAGAACAGCATCATATAATTGAATTTCTCTGAGGTGAAAACTATATATATCACTCATCCAACCACATCAATGCAATAAACAAGGCAAAATAATAAACTTTTAAAGTAGCTATGCAAACCTTTCCAGGAGCATCCCTCTGACCAGTAGAACCAATACTCCGATGCGATAATGATGCACCATGCGATGCTGGCATTCCTTTAAATCCCCATCTTTTCATTCCACCCTGGACAAGTAAAACAAATGTAAGAAATGTAGTTGTTTAAGTCTCAAATCAATATTAACTTAATCATATCTAAGGACTGAATAAAGAGAAAAATTAGGAAGCAAAAACTTGCCAGATATTGTTATTTATTTTTATACCACTGCCCCTCATGTGCAAAGATTGGATAGAGTGTAGAGCATCACAAAAATTTGCACAAGCTCAATGCATAAATTAACATTATAAAATAGACATGTGCCACCGTTAACCAGTAAATCAAGAATCATTAGTAAAATTTGCAATTGCTTGTGCACCATCAACAAATTCCAAAGCCTCACACTGTACATAGTTTTCAAATCAGTCCAACTGCAAAAGCTAGCTCTATTAGTCTTTATACACAAAATTTCAAGGATGGAGTATCTGCTAGTGCTACAAACAAATGGAATAGATTTATCGTTTGGTATCAACAATTCAAGGAAACAATTAAGTAAATCACCTGAAAACCTTTCCCCCTAGAGATTCCAGTAACATCTACATATTGCCCTGGAACAAAATGACGAACACCAAGGGATGTACCAACAGGAAGAAGAGCATCTTCGGTGACAGAGAACTCCCTCAATTTCCTCTTCAAGGGAACACCTTGAGCTCTGAAATGACCCACTTCAGGCTTCGTCAAATGTTTCACCTTCTTGTGGCCGCAACCAATCTAACTAACACCACAAATTTAGGCAGTTTGAGTGAATGCTTAGTCATTATTATATAAACATCCTCATAGACAGCTGCTGAGGTAGTAAAAATAGCACGTTTGAATGTAAACAGAATAATTAAAAAATTGAATGCATCATATATAAATATAAATGGAAGCAAAGAAAAGGAGTCGGACACCTGGAGGGAAAAGATTCCTTCTTTCTCAACAGTCTTGACCTGAGAGACGATATTGTCATCAACCCAGAGGACGGTGATGGGAAGCCTAGCACCCCACTTGTCCCAAAGAGCAGTCATGCCCAACTTGACGGCAACGAGCCCAGTGCGCTTGGAGTTGGGAGTCATGATAGCTGGAGTGGCCTGGATGATGCGGCTGGGTTGTTGTTGGAGGATCTGGGAGCCATCCATCAAGGCATCGGAGCTGAAGAGTCTCCTAACAAAGAGATGAGGTGGGAGGTGCGTCGGGGCAGCTACGCACGCGGACGGTGACGATGACGATGGCCTAGATAGGGAAAGGAGGTGCTGGCGGAGACGAGAAATGAGGCCTCTGGATAAGGCCGACATGCCTGTTCATTAAACGAAGATAACGGAAATGGTGGAGTTAATCAGTTATCTAGTACTAGTTCTGGGAAGAGATAGATTAAGTTTGCGGAGGGAGTGTGTCCAGTCCAGCATGGGCACTATTGGGGCAGTGGGCAAAAGCCAAAGAGAAAGAGGAATACTTATTTTTAGGAACTATAAAACCTGAGAAGTAGGGATCCTGGGATGACCATAACAGAGGAAAGGAAAGGGGAGGGCTTTTGTTCTTGCTAGGGTTTTAGTATAAGACAAGTTCTTCTCCCCGTGAGTGTGCATTTGGGCTCAGGTGGAGTCCAGCCCAATTTTGAATTGTTCAGTTTACAGTCCAACGTGGTTGTTACTTATCAACAGACAAAACTACCAACTTCCGACAGGCTCCTTAGCTCAACCCCGTCATCCTTGTCCTTGATACGAATCATTTTGAGTGAGCGGATATGAATATCAGCCACACAACACAGAAAAAGACTAGTTTAATTTAAGTGGGTTTGGGATTGGGATTGGAATAAGTGAACAAGTGTCCTTCGATTTGATGATGCCATAATCAATCGAAGTCCAAAATAATGGTGGCGATGAACTCGATGGAGTTGCTGATCCCTAAATTAAGGTTGGGAGAATGCCACTCCAAATCCCAACTATTAGCACTATCCTCATCATGTATTGCAAAGCAGCAGCCACCGCGTGCATTGATGTGTAGAGCATCAGCGGCGGAATCCAATGCGACGGCGCTGGAGCAGACTGGAGGGAAGATGGTGGTGGAGCTGGTGGGAGCCTTCAACCAGCTGACCCAGAAGATCAACGTCTTGTCCAGCAGCTCCTCTCGCTTGCTCTTCAAGTCTCTCAAGCTCTCCATTCCCATCCTGCAGGCCTTGCCTCTCGCTCCTGATGGCCGCTCTCCTCTTTCTAAGGCCTTGTCTCTCGCTTTCCTTCTCGCCACTCTCCAGGTACTCATCTCCACACTTTCTTTCTAATTAAGCTCTACAACGTTTTTCTTGTGCCATGTTATATGCACAATCTCAGCTTAATTTGCAGAATTAACCATGATGCATGATATATGAACTGTCTATATATTTTACTTCTTCACGCTTCAAATTTTGGTTTCTGGCAATTCACCCCAATCAAAAATCTTAGAGCAAGCCTTGCAACTTGCAAACTGATTGCAGATGGATGCAGAAGTTATTTCGGCTGGCTTACTCACCCCAGTTCTGGAGGCAGGTGCCATTTCCATCTATCAAGTCAGAGATCGTATTGGTACTGGCACTGCCCATCTTTTGCATGAAAGCATGCGCTTGAAGAATATCCCTTCCAAAGTCGAAGTTTTGGATGATGATAGTGCGGCTGCCCTAAGAAAATTCTGCCTTACCTTCTATGACATCAGGGCTCTCATTTTGGACCTCGCTCTCAAGCTTGATACGATGAGGCATCTTGATTACCTTCCAAGATATCAACAACAAATGCTCTCTCTTGAGGTTTTGAAGATATATGCCCCCTTAGCTCATGCTGTGGGAACCAACCACTTGTCCCTCGAGCTTGAAGATCTCTCCTTTCGTTATCTCTTTCCTTATTCATACCTGTATGTCGATACATGGCTAAGAAGCCACCAGCCTGGAAATAAGCCTCTAATTGACATATACAAGGAACAGCTGCTCCAAACTTTAAAAGCTGATCCTATCTTAGCTGACATGGTTGATGATGTCGCTGTTAAGGGCCGCTATAAAAGTCGGTACAGCACAATGAAGAAGCTTGTGAGAGATGGCCGTAAGCCAGAAGAAGTAAATGATGTTCTAGGATTGCGAGTCATATTGAATTCTAGGTCTGGCATAGACATGTCACAAGTAGGTGAAAGAGCATGCTACAGGACTCGTGAAATCATTCAATCACTATGGAAAGAAATGCCTCACAGAACAAAAGACTATATTGCGAGGCCCAAAGCAAATGGATATAAGAGCTTACATATGGCAGTTGATGTGAGTGACAATGGAATGAGTAGACCACTTATGGAAATACAAATACGCACTACTGAAATGGACATGTTGGCCACAGCTGGAACTGCATCCCATTCACTGTACAAGGGTGGACTAACTGATCCAGAAGAGGTTTGCAGAATATTATTTGATTGAGATCAGTCCTTGATTCTACATTAGTGACTCAGCTGGGAAACAGTACAATTAATGCTTCTTTATCTTTTAAATTTTCTTTTAATAAGTATTTGGCTATTTTTTCATTCTCAGGCAAAGAGACTTAAGGCCATAATGATTGCTGCAGCTGAACTTGCAGCACTGCGGCTTAAAGATTTTCCATCCACAAATCATAAAGGCCTTGAGTTTGGTCAGAGAGATGAAGTATTCCGCCTTCTTGACAAGAATGGTGATGGTAAGATTAGCATTGAAGAACTAATGGAAGTTATGGAAGAGCTTGGAGCACCAGGGGAAGATGCCCGAGAGATGATGCAGCTCCTCGATTCAAACAGTGATGGTTCTCTAAGTTCTGATGAATTTGGTTTGTTTCAAAAACAGGTAAAACGCAAAGTAATAAGGAGTTTATTTCTTGTACTGCTATCCTCTAGCCTGCTCCTTTTTGTTTGGGGAGGGGGGCTTATTTTATTTTTAACGGCATTGTCACTGGTAGAGGTACTTATAACTACTAGGAATTTGGGTTTAATATGCATTGAACTTTGATTATTTTCTAGCCTTTCCATGCTAACTTTCAGAAATAGAAAATTTCTTCGAAATTGCTTGAGCTTGTCATGGTACTTAAACAAGTTCTGGTTTACTTGTATTCTGGTTGAACTAATTGGATGATATTTTACTCTATATAGCTTTGCTGTTTCCGTGTTATTGTTTGTAACAGGTTGAATTTATGCGCAATTTAGAGGACAGAGATGTCCAATACAAGACCATGCTCAATGACAAGCTCCAAGTAGCAGACAACAGTGGCTTGATTCAGGTATACAGCAAAGAATTTGGTGACAGGCTAGTAAATTAGATTTGATTGACACTTGATTGATTGTTGTCATGTATATACTATATAGTGAATCACCCTGTAGCATAACAAACTAGAACTTTTGATTTCTCTAAAATTGTAGTATTTCAGGAAAAGAGGAAAAGAAAAGCCGTATATTGCATGAATGCTGTGCATAGAATAGCCTCTTGTTTATTCCCTTTGGATGGTTGGAGCATCAATTATAAACAACAAACAATAGAAAAATAAAATGTTGAGGGAGGGGGAGAGGCGACAAATGTTTTCCTTGATAACATGGTCAGATGTTACATGATTACGTCATCAACAATCAAAAGTAAGATAGAGATAAGCTGATAGTGGATGTGAAAAGTAAGCATTTGATGATGGATCAACTTCTTCCGCTCTTTCATCACCACCCAAACTCTAAAGTCATTGTTGTCGTTCAGTAAAATTCTGGGATCAGTAGCCATTATTTGGACAGCAAGCCAACCCTGCTCAGCTCTCCTTACCCCTGTTAACATGTCTAACCTTTTGTGGAATCATTTCTTTCGGAAGAAGTTACACCAATACTCAATAGCATGCCGGAGATTTTTGCTTTCTCCAACAAAAATTTGAGATTAGTGCCACCTTATTGCTGCAGTCGCATAAGACAAGGATGGAAAAAGGTATAGATGATGGACCTGTACGTTGTCTACCATGAGCATGACATATTGGATTGATTTTGGTATCAGCATTGGAACTGCATATGGTAGTGTTTTATCATGAACAAGAAATAATTATGAGCTGGCTTGATCCTCTTCTCCCTCTTTCCATGCTACAGTATAACCTTTTACAGAAAGCTCACACTGAAAAACATAAGCCTTGAACTAGGCTATATATATATAAAAGAGAGGATTGCAGTTTATTTATGTAAACTGAGCTAAACTTGCTCAATGTTCATTCAATTGGGGGGGCAAATCTCCATTCATCAGAAGAGAGGAGAGCTTCTCCTTCAACAAGGGAAATAGCCAAATAGGCAGAGTTTAACTGATGAAATGTGATTTTATATTCAATTATCAATATCTATGAACATGCAGAAAGCAGCAGCACTGTCTGGATTACATTAAAAGACTAGACTGCTGCTTCTGCTTGTAACTGCCAACACAACATATCTGCACTTTGGACATATGTGCTTATAGTTATTTACTTTAGTTTAGGTCTCCCTTTTTCCCCAAAAAGCTATAAAACAAAAAGAAAATGCTACTGTAAATAAACAAAAAAAAAACATTTACATAAATATAACTATAACCTATGATAGCATCTCTCTCAGTCTCAGGCTCAGAGCTGATATCCTTTAACCAATCAACAACTAGTCTATCAAGCTTGTGTGTACACCAGCCCTTGGCCTTGAGGAACGCCCAAGTCATTTGAAATCTTTTTACATAACTGCAAAGGATCGAACTTGAATTACAACAGAGAGCAAGATGAGAGAATTGGATTGAGCCAAGGAAAGCGGGAAATCCTATACCTGTCTATAAACTGTAGAATCACCACACGATTTTCTTAATTCAACTACATACAAGGATGGGCTTATCTCAAACACCTGACATAGTTACAAAGACTTGGATTAGTAAATGGAGTAACTCTTGTCCAGGTTCACAAGGATCAACAAGGGGGGTGGGGATGGGAGTAGGGGTAGGGGTGGGTTGTGCAGCTCTCTGTAGTGATAAATTGCTGAAAACACACATTCACTTTCGAGTTAAAAAATACCACAAAAATTTGCTCAAATTTTTAACAAAAGAATGACCTCGGCTGCAACTGAAAGACTGCCATGACATTTCTGGCCTCTGTGTTCTTGTGTTGCTTTCAACTGAAACAAAGGAGCATACAAGTTTAGGACTACATGCGGCCATTAGTATGAATGCATACCAAATCTCCTGAAAGCATGCGACTACCAAGTGCATGTATGCGTGTGTGTGTGTGTGTGTTTTGGCACCATGAAGGTACAGTAACATTTTGTGTAATTGAGAAAAGCTTGATGTATCGCATTAAGCAATTATACAAAGCACTAACCCTTCCGTTCTTCATTTGGACTCGAAATCCCATCTCTGTCACAATATCTTGGATCCTTGCGAGCAAATCTTTTGCCGAATGATTGGATGTAAATCTGATCTTCCTTTCAGAGACATCCTGAGCATAATATTGCAATCAGCCATTCTGAAAACTTTGTGAATTAGGGTGATAAACTAGGGACGATACTACACAAAAAAATACACTAACAAGGCGACAGCCTTTCTTTTGCTCTTACCTCCTCCTCAAAGAAACCAGAAAGGTCCAGGCATGAGGACATTCCTATCAACTGAAAAGCATTAATGATAGTGGGTGATTCTGGACTCCTAGTTCCATCAGATGCCTTCATCAAAATCACGCTTCTGTTAGTTATGTTCAAAATTTGCAAAGGAAGGTCTTATCAAGGATAAAATTTTGGGAGCTCATACCACTTCATCCATTGAGAAGGCTTCATCGTCAATGTATAAATCTTCTTCCTCATCATCAGCTACTGCAGGAGTATAGTCTTGCTTGAACCATTCATCATCTTTAATACCTGCAATTGTTATCCTGGTATCAGGGTTTGGATCAAGAATCCTTCTTATCATGTTCCGAGCACCGGATGATAACCACTTAGGAATCTGAGCATCCCCTTTGAAAATCTGAAATCTCACAAGAGGATTAGAGATAGGAGTTGATAAGAAGGAAATTATTAAAAATTTGTCAGAGAAATGACCAAATGTAGCCCTCAAATACCTTCTGATAGAGAACTGCAAGATTTCTATCATCGAAAGGGAGATATCCGGTGAGAATTACATACAAGATGACGCCACATGACCATATGTCTGAGGTGGCACCATCATACCCTTTATTAGCGAGAATCTCGGGCGCCACATAGTTAGGACTTCCGCAGGTAGTATGCAGTAAGCCATCCCCCTGATATTTGAAACTGAATTAAAAGAATAGAACAAAATCTTTTTCATGAATTTCTTGTTTAGGAGAGCACTTTACCCTAATGTGTTGAGGCAACGCACTGAGTCCAAAATCAGATATCCTTATGTTCCCTTTTGCATCGATAAGAACGTTTTCGAGCTGCAATATCGAGAACAGATTTTAGCAGATTAACATTATGGAAAGAAGAGAAAAGGAAGACAACTTCATATAACATGGATTGATATGATTTT